GTTCATATACTGAGACGGCTTGACCACAAAATAGATCACCACTTGTTTTATCTTCATTCTTGCCATTTCTAGTTTGAGTAGCACTTCGTAAAAGAAGCGTATCTTGAAATCGTGTTTGTCTGATCGCGTGACCTGGACAAAGATGACCTTGCCTGTGTCCTTGTCAAAATGCATCGCATCGTAGCCTCCTTGGTTCCACACCGTCGGCTGCAACCAACTCCCGTCGCCTTTAACTTTTCCATCTGATAGCACTTTAAATCGTTTCTTCGGATCGAAACAAAGAACATTTGCTTGAGGCAGAACGTCTCCGACTTGGTGGTCGCCGAATAATTTCACTGCACGCTTTGGAACAGATGCCAAAAACAGCCACTCGAAGAGGTGGTCATCCACCGCAGGGTTGTTTGACCCATTGTGACGAGCCGCCAACTGCACAATGGTTTGCTCGTCACATTCTTCCGCAAAGAGAGAGGCCGCATACGAGCTCACGGGGAACCGAGCGTTACCAATGCCGTCAGGTTGCATCCCGTAAAGCCTGTCGATTGCATCAGTGTGCCAATAGCCAGCGCAGTATTTGACAAGATCTGACTTGTTCGCGGCAGATTGAACCCCGGTTTTCAGACAGTCCATCACTTCAATCGTGGGGTATTGAAATATGAACCGACATGATCCGCCAGCATAGTAGAACTTCAAATCAAGCGCATACTGCTTCTTATCCTCCTCACTCCATTCTGCTTCGAAACCGTCGTCCTCATTCACTTCATTGGGACTTGTTGCGTCCAACTTTGACGCGATCTTGTCATAAAAAGTCTGATTGGCGATGGATGCAAGATAATTGTCCTTCGTCCATGAATACAAGAAGAACACTTGAATATTGGCATGACGATCGTCCTCCAGGTTTCTTTTACCAAGTGAGGACATTGAAGAGCAAACCACAAGCCTCTCGTTTTTCTTGTCGAGAAGCGTAAAGACACGTTTGAAAAACTTTGCGTGCGTAGTCGTAGCCTTGTAGCCATCTAAACAAATAAAGAGCTTTTTGCCTGCGACACGAGGCAGCTCAAAACTTGATAAATCAGCAATGTCCCAGTATTCCTTCGTTCCCAACGCCAGACAAGAGTCCAAATTTTGACTCAAATAAATCCAGACGACGTTCCATTCCTGATGATCCAAAGAGGCCACAAAACTTAGCGTAGCCACAGATTTGCCTATGCCAGGTGGTCCAACAATGAATCCTCTTGCATTCTTAGCAATGACTTCATTTTGCACAAAGGCCCACAGATCGAGCACTTCACGACGACAATACAGCATCAAGTCATCCGAGACTCTGTAACCACACTTCTCGAGAAATGCAGCTGGCAGCGTCACATATTGCACCCCTTGAATTTTAATCTAAGGCACATCTTCGACCTTCTCAATTCGCGGCACACTTCCCGTATGCTGTCGCTTGTTTGGCAAAATATCAGCTGCGGATGGAAGTTCCACCAGCACATGAATCACTTCCTCTCCGAGGGCGAAATCTGGTCCAAACAGCCCCACCTTGTTGAGCATCCATGACGGACGCATCTCCTTGTAATCATTGCTGACACTGCCTCGCAGGATTTTTTTCACATTACGGTCGTCCTTCAACCACGTGCCACCCGCTTTCCGCGCCAAATACAGCGTCAACGCGGCTGGGAAAACCTCAACGCGGTTGCTGACGACTCTGTATCTACATGCAATCTTCTCCTGCAGCGCCTCCACGTCTGCATTGTGATCGATGTTGATGGAGAAGACGCTCTCTTCGCCGTACACACCACAGCGAAGATTCATGTTCGCGTGGAAGGTTCTCGACTGAGAAGCAACAAACATTCATGTACCCCACAATCACATCAGGCATCCTTACTACCTGTCGTAAGAGTTTACTCTTCTATTTTAGCCTATCACAATATTTTCTATTCTTAATTAGAGAGCGAAGAATTCTCGAGATGACTCAACTGACATTCCAAATCATGACTCCCTATTTCTTTTCCGGACCCACGAGTTTTAACTAAAGATAAAAGATGTTAATAAAGTGGTACACATAAAATACGTGACGTGATGCAGATTTTTGTTGTTGTTGAAGTTATCGTGATGAAAGCAGGCGCTGCGGAATGGTGTACGGAGACACTTTAGGCGACGATACTTAAACAGGGGAAACAGAGCGTACTTCGTTGTTGTCGCTCTCCATGATCGGTCGTGGAGAGTGATTTGGCCGCTGTGCAACGAGAGTTGAAGATTTTGGGATCGCTGGTGAGCGCCTCGAGTGACGTATGAGTTCCTCACTGGCACTTTGCGCGTCAGATGAAGCTGCTACTGTTTCTTGTAGATGCGTTTGGCGTGAATAAGGACGGGTAGCTGAAAATTCTAACGAGCCAGCCGGTGTTTCCTTGGATGGGGGCATCTCAGTGTTGTAAGGTAATAGCTTTGTGCGGTAACCACCTCCAACACGTTTGACGGACATCTGCCTTCGAGGCCTTTGCGCCACAGTGAGTTTAGGTGGCGGAGGCTGTGGAACTACTCGCTGAGTGTTGAGCGCTGACTCTATTGGCAGAATGCTTGACGAGGACGTGGAGTTAGTTGGGAATGGACTCGCGCTTTCTTCTTCATCCGAGAAAAGAATATCCAAACTGATCCCTCGTCTTAATGCATCGACAATAATCTTCTCGTCAACGGAAAGATCGTTTTGTGACGCTCGTTCATCTGTCCTTGTGTCCTCCTTATCCTCTTCACTTTCACTTTCACTCCCATCCTCGTCCTCGTCATCCTCGACACACGCAGCGAGTGCGGCTTGCTGACGCGCTTCCTGGACGACTTTCAGGCGTTTACGCGCTTGTCGCTGAAGAACTGTAGCAGCTGAGTACATCTCACGCTCACGACATTCTTCTTCTTCTCTAGCTCGGCGTTCACGCTTCAGTGCTAGCTGCTGTCGAGCCACATAGCCCTGCATTGCACGCTGCAGTATCGACGCAGCCTCATGGGTTTCCCGTACTTGCCTCAGCACTCTAGCCACCCGCCGTGCTAGGGCACCTCGAATCACCCTTTGTACCGTTATTGCAGCAGCAGTCTCTCGAGCACGTTCATCTACTCGCTTTGCTGCCTGAAGCATTAGCCAAATCCGACGCTGGCGAGCTGCGTCACGCTGCATTCTTCTCTGCTTCCGCTTCGCTTCATCCTCAAGTAGATAATGCTCTCTAGCTCGCAGTTTTTCGAGCTTGTCCTCTAACAACCGTGCACGTTGAGCCGTGCGCTCCAGCACGCGCGGGTAGTTCTCCAGCGATCCGTTCTCATACATGATTTCATGAAACTGCGATGTGAACTTGACGCTGCGTGGATGAGAGAGCACGTCTATGGCTCGGTGAGAGTCAATCTGAACACCAACGTTTCCAGGCCGAGCAGTCAGCAGCAATGGTAGCTTAAAATTGGAAGAAGCTGAAGACAAAGAGCCTGAAAAGCTCGCAGCGCGAACTTCATCTCGCTTTGCCATGAGAAAATCCACCGTAGCAATGAGCACACGAGATGATAAAAAGGTTGCGAGGTCAACTGCAGTGCTTTACACACCAACGCTTTATTTTTTGTAACGGCCCTCGC